GTTTGAGTTGTTTCCTGTTTTTTGAGGTAGGATTGTATTGCTATAAACTTCCCTCTTAGAACTGCTTTTGCTGCATCCCATAGGTTTTGGGTCATCGTGTTTTCCTTCTCATTTGTTTCTAGGTATTTTTTGATTTCCTCTTTGATTTCTTCAGTGATCTCTTGGTTATTTAGTAGCATATTGTTCAGCCTCCATGTGTTTGTATTTTTTACAGATTTTTTTCCTGTAATTGATATCTAGTCTCCTAGCATTGTTTTCAGAAAAGATACTTGATACAATTTCAATTTTCTTGAACTTACCACGGCTTGATTTGTGACCCAAGATATGATCTATCATGGAAAATGTTCAATGAGCACTTGAGAAGCAAGTGTATTCTGTTGTTTTTGAATGGAATGTCTTTTAAATATCAATTAAGTCCATCTTGTTTAATGTATCATTTAAAGCTTGTGTTTCCTTATTTTCATTTTGGATGATCTGTCCATTGGTGAAAGTGGGGTGTTAAAGTCCCCTAGTATGATTGTGTTGCTGTCGATTTCCCCTTTTATGGCTGTTAGCATTTGCCTTATGTATTGAGGTGTTGTGTGCATAAATATTTATAATTGTTATATCTTCTTCTTGGATTGATCCCTTGATCATTATGTAGTGTCCTTCTTTGTCTCTTGTAATAGTCTTTATTTTCAAGTCTATTTTGTCTGAAATGAGAATTGCTACTCTAGCTTTCTGTTGATTTCCATTTGCATGAATATCTTTTTCCGCCGTCCCCTCATTTTTAGTCTGTATGTGTCCCTAGGTCTGAAGTGGGTCTCTTGTAGACAGCATATATATGGGTCTTGTTTTTGTATCCATTCAGCCTGTCTATGTCTTTTGGTTGGAGCATTTAATCTATTTATGTTTAAGGTAATTGTCAATACGTATGTTCCTATTACCATTTTCTTAATTGTTTTGGCTTTGTTTTTGTAGGTCTTTTCCTTCTTTTGTTTTTCTTGCTTAGAGAAGTTCCTTTATAATTTGTTGTAAAGCTGGTTTAGTGTTGCTGAATTCTCTTAGCTTTTGCTTGTCTGTAAAGGTTTTAATTTTTCCGTTGAATCTGAATGTGATCCTTGTTGTGTAGAGTAATCTTGGTTGTCGGTTTTTCCCTTTCATCACTTTAAATATGTCCTGCCAGTCTCTTCTGGCTTGCAGAGTTTCTGCTGAAAGATCAGCTGTTAACCTTTTGGGGATTCCCTTGTGTGTTATTTGTTGTTTTTCCCTTGCTGCTTTTAATATTTGTTCTTTGTATTAATTTTTGATAGTTTGATTAATATGCATCTTGGTGTGTTTCTCCTTGGATTTATCCTGTATGGGACTCTCTGTGCTTCCTGGACTTGATTGACTATATCCTTTTCCATGTTAAGGAAGCTTTCAACTATAGTCTCTTCAAATATTTTCTCAGTCCCTTTCTTTTTCTCTTCTTCTTCTGGAATCTCTATAATTCGAATGTTGGTGTGTTCAATGTTGTCCCAGAGGTCCTGAGACTGTCTTCAGTTCTTTTCCTTTGTTTTTCTTTTTTCTGGTCTGCAGTAGTTATTTCCACTATTTTATCTTCCAGGTCACTATCCATTCTTCTGCCTCAGTTATTCTGCTATTGATTCCTTCTAGAGAATTTTAAATTTCATTTATTGTGTTATTCATCATTGTTTGTTTGTTCTTTAGTTCTTCTGGGTCCTTGTTAAATGTTTCTTGTATTTTCTCCATTCTATTTTGAAGATTTTGGATCATCTTTACTATCATTACTGTGAATTTTTTTTCAGGTAGACTGCCTATTTCTTCTAAATTTGTTTGGTCTGGTGGATTTTTCCCTTGCTCCTTTACCTGCTGCATATTTCTCTGTCTTCTCATTTTGTTTAATTTACTGTGTTTGGGGTCTCCTTTTCACAGGGTGCAGGTTCATAGTTCTCATTGTTTTTGGCATCTGCCCCCAGTGGGTGAGGTTGGTTCAGTCACTTGCATAGGCTTCCTGTTGGAGGGGACTAGTGCCTGTTTTCTGGTGGATGAGTCTGGATCTTGTCTTTCTGGTGGGCACCACTCTGTCCAGTGGTGTGTTTTTGGGTGTTTGTGACCTATGATTTTAAGCAGCCTCTCTGCTAATGGGTGGGGTTATGTTTCTGTCTTGCTAGTTGTTTGCCAGGGTGTCCAGCACTGTAGCTTGCTGGTCATTGAGTGGAGCTGGGTCTTTGCGTTGAGCTAGAGATCTCCCGAGAGCTTTTACCATTTGATATTATGTGGAGCTGGGAGGTCTCTGCTGGACCAATGTCCTGAACTTGGCTCTCCCATCTCAGAGGCCTGACACATGACCAGAGCACCAAGACCTTGTCAGCCACCTGGTTCAGAAGAAAAGAGAGAAAAAAGAGAGAAAGAAAAAAAATTATATAAAATATTTATTAAAGTAAAAAAGTAATAAAAAAATAGAAAGAAAGAAGAGAGCAACCAAACCAAAAATCAAATCCACCAATGATGACAAGTGCTAAATAGTATAGTAAAGAAAAAAGGACAGAACCCTAGGACAAATGGTAAAAGCAAAGCTATACAGACAAAATCATACAAAGAAGCATACTCATGTACACTCACAGAAAGGGAAAAAGGAAAAAAAATATATAAATTAAAAAAGAAAGGAAGAGAGCAACCAAATCAATAAGCAAATCTACCAATGATAGTAAACTCTAAATACTGAATTGAGATAAACATAGAAACAAATTAGATGCAGAAAGCAAACCCCAAGTCTACAGTTGCTCCCAAAGTCCGCTGCCTCTATTTTGGGATGATTTGTTGTCCATTCAGGTTTTCCAGAGATTCAGGGTGCATGAAGTTGATGGTGGAGATTTAATCTGCTGCTAATGAGGCTGCTGGGAGAAATTTCCATTTCTCTTCTTTGTTCTCTTTGTTCTCTTATTTGAACAAACTTCTGGTGTTCAGCTTTGTATTTAGTCCTGCCTCTGCGTGTAGGTCGCCTGATGGCATCTGTTCTTCACTCAGATAGGACGGGGTTAAAGGAGCAGCTGATTTGGGGGCTCTGCCTCAGTCAGGCTGGGGGGAGGGAGGGGAACGGAATGCCGGGCAAGCCTGCAGCTGCAGAGGCCAGCATGACGTTGCACCAGCCTGAGGCACCAGCCCGTGTGTTCTCCCGGGGAAGTTGTCCCTGGATTACGGGACCCTGGCAGTGGCAGGTTGCACAGCCTCCCGGGAGGGGAGGCGTGAATACTGACCTGTGCTTGCACACAGGCTTCTTGGTGGCCTCAGCAGCAGCCTTTGCATTTCATGCCCGTCTCTGGTATCTGCAGTGATAGCTGCGGCTCGCGCCCGTCTCTGGAGCTCGTTTAGGTGTTGCTCTGAATCCCCTCTCTTCTCGCACCCCGAAACAATGGTCTCTTGCCTCTTAGGCAGGTCTAGATATTTTCCCGAGCTCCCTGCCAGCTAGCTGTGGTGCACTAGCCCCCTTCAGGCTGTGTTCACGCAGCCAACCCCGGTCCTCTCCCTGGGATCTGACCTCTGAAGCCTGAGCCTCAGCTCCCAGCCATCGCCCACCCTGGCGGGTGAGCAGACAAGCCTCTCGGGCTGTTGCGTGCTGGTCGGCACCGATCCTCTTTGCGGGAATCTCTTTGCTTTGCCCTCTGCATCCCTGTTACTGCGCTCTCTTCCATAGCTCGAAAGCTTCCCCCGCCCCCCACCCCCGTTCCCCCCAGTCTCTGCCAGTGAAGGGGCTTCCTAGTGTGTGGAAACCTTTCCTCCTTCACAGCACCCTCCCAGAGGTGCAGGTTCTGTCCTTATTCTTTTGTCTATGTTTTTTCTTTTTTCTTTTGCCCTACCCAGGTACGTGGGGAGTTTCTTGCCTTTTGGGAAGTCTGAGGTCTTCTGCCAGCGTTCAGTAGGTGTTCTGTAGGAGTTGTTCCACATGTAGATGTATTTCTGATGTATTTGTAAGGAGGAAGGTGATCTCCACGTCTTATTCCTCCACCATCTTGAAGGTCTCCTGGGTTTAAATTTTAATCTTTGCTTTCTATTTCCTCTTTTGTTCTATGCTGTTTTCCTCTTCTTCACTTATTGTTTTAGATTGATTTAATGTTTTTCATTATTCTATTTTGCCCTTTGTTTGCATGATATTTGCACATCCTCTTACTATGTTTGTTTAGTAATTACCATATCTATCCTCAACTTATCAAAATCAACTTTGCTAGTTGAAACTGTGACTCATTCATACCTGACATTCACAGTTTTGTAGGTTTTACTGCTATCAGTAACTTATGTCAATTCTTTTCTTGTTTTCATTACTTTTTTCTTTTTACTTGTGCAGAGCTGACCAATGATCTTATAGAGACCTTAAAAGCAAGAAGGGGTAATGGTGAGAATGGTGAGCTTGGAGGTCAGGGGAGGTATCATCCTGGAACCAAAGAAACTACTTTTGATTTGGGGGGGTTTTGTGACATCACTTTTTCCCTTGCTCCAGTTATGTTTTACTTAGAATTTCTCAGCCTTCGGTTCTTTGCCACTGACCTTCCTATAACCCTCCTCCCATCTCTGTCCTTCCTGCTGTCTCCTACTGTTCCTTTCTCTAGCTCTGTATTAGTTTACTAAGTCTACTATAACAAAGTACCACTGTCTTGGTGGCTTAAAAACAAATTTATTGTCTTACTGTTCTGGAAGCCAGAAGTCTGAAATCAAGGTGTTGGTAGGGCTGTGCTTCTTCAGAAGGCTCTAGGGAAGAATACTTCCTTGTCTCATTCTAGCTTCTGGTGGTTGCCAGCAATCCTTGGCATTTCTTGCCTTGTAGAAATATCACTCCAGTCTCTGCCTCCATGCTTATATGATATTCTCCTCTGTGCTTTCATGTGGCATTCTCCTCTTCATGTGTGTATGTTCAGAATTTACCTCTTCAGGATGCCAGTTATTGATTTAGAGCCCACCCTAATCCAGTATGACCTCATCTTAACTTGGTTACTTTTGCAAAGACCCTATTACCAAATAAGGTCACACTCTGAGGTTCCAGGGAGACGTGAATTTGGGGGGAACACTATTCAACCCAGTAAAAACTCATTACCCTATTGTGCAGTAAACGTAGCACTGGCCTAAAAATTAGAATAGTCCTAGGTACTAATTCTGCCTGTGCTACTAATTTTATGGGTGCAGACTTTGGAATTCACGATCAGAGGTTCAAATCTCAGCTGTCACTTAAACTCAGTGAGTCTCAGTGTCTTCATCTGTAAACTGAGGATAATTATACCTATGTTTTAGGTTGGACTAAATAAGATCATGCTTTTTAGGTGCCTGGCATAGTGCTTAGCATATTGTAGGTGCTTAACAAATGTTTGTTTTCTCCTACCCATTTCTTCTTATTTTCTCCACAGTAAAATCATGAGTTTATTTTTAAGATAGTTCCAGCTTCATAGTTATGACAGCTCCTTTAAACTATTTCTTCTTCATACTCTGCCTTATCCATTTCTCTCCTCCCTTTTCTTTTTGTCAATTTAGCCCCTTCATTCCAGTGTTTTGTTCCCACTACCCCCATTTTCTTCCTAATTCTCTTCTTTCCAATTTTATTCCTTGTGGCTAGGATGACATTTATCTGCTTTGCCCAGTAATAGTCCTAGTTTATGCCTGTGGTACCAGTGTAATTATTGATAATGTCCCCTTTCATTCTTATAGGGCTCTGGTTTGGATGATGTGTTATATGGTCACCCTACTAAGAGTGTTCTCATAGTACTTGGACCTTCCTCTATCATTGCATGATCTGCAATGTATCATGTGCATTTTAATTGTTTTGTGGGTCTGTCTCTTTGGCAGGATTGAGAGCAGCAACTGGGAATGATTTTCTGTGTTTCCCCAAAGTCTAGCACATTCCTGGCTCATGGGGGCTGGTGCTCAGCAATGTTTGTTGGACATATGAATGTTCTTGAAAACTTGCTTCTTTCTGTGTATAGCAGGCACTCAATAAATAATCTTTAAATTGAAGTAGATTGCTGCCCTTTATGAAAGTGAAAAATGAACCCAATAAGAACACTGTTCCTCTCTCTGCCTTCCTTTATTTGTTGTCATTAGCTTAGAGATCTCACTTTACTTCCAGATTTGTGACTCATTTCTTCTTCTTGCCTCACCCTTAGCTATTTTGATTCTTTGAAAACTGGAGTTATCCTTTTCACGACTCCCGTGGGTGCTGTGGTGACCTGCTTTCCAGTTGCTGCATGTTTTAGGCAAGTGTATCTCCATGATTAGAATCTCACCACTGGCCCAGGCTCCTGAGGCTTTCTCTGTTCTGTTGTCTGTTTCAGAAGCACTTTATCTGCCATCTTGTTTCTAGCTTTGAGGCCACACCTTCTGTTGATTGCTTCATCTTGTTGCTGTGTCTATACAAGCGAAATTAGGTGGATAATCAAATCAATGATGGGTTTAATTCAGGCCTCAAAGTCATTTTTGCCTGACACTTTTTCCTGTTGCTTTTGGCTCAGGGCCTCAGCACACCACCCTGCTTTTTTTTTTTTTTTTTTTTTACCCTGCTTTTTGTTTGTGGGTTGGGATCTTCTATGCCATGGGAATATTTTCTAGGCCTGTCATATAGTTCAAATGGTGGAAAACATTTCCCCTCTTCAGGAATTATGAAATTGAAGCCACCTGGATTGAGTAAATGGGTTGCGCTTCTTGCTAATGGCTGAAAATTGGCATTTACTCAGTTTTCAAGAAACAATTATTGAAAATGTACTAAGTATAAATAATGATACCAATAATTTTTGACTTTGAGAGTTTTATAGAGGCTGTGGAGGTGTGCTGCTCAAATCAACTTTCATTAAGAACCTCCTGCAAAGAGTGTGGTTCATCCAGAGTCTCCAGCTGCAGCACCTTTGGGATCAGCCCCTGTTTTCACACTGCCAGGCCTCACTCTTCCCGGGCTTCTCTCAGCTGGTGACTGAGTGCAGCCATTTCTGCCCAACACGGGACACCTCTAATGGGTAATCTTTGCTTAAGGACTCCCAGTCGGCCTGGCTTAGACTTTCTCAAAGGTGTACTTCAGTCTGACCTTCCTATTACCCAGTCTTTTTTCTTGTCTCCTCTTCTTTCCCAAGTGTCAGACCTGCGTCATGGTCTGAAGACTCTCCCCATTATGCCTGCTGCCTCTTCTCTTAATTCTTCACAGGTATTTCTCCCAAGAAATCTCCTGCATGACTCATTTCATCTTGGCACCTGTTTCTTGGAAGACTCAAGCCAACACAAGTTCCTAATCTGGTAGTGAAGATGAAAGAAACGTGTGCACAAATAATGCAAAATACTCTTCATTCCATTCCTCTACAACAGTAAGTGGTAGGACTAAAGTACACTAGGGACATAGAACCTTAGATTTAAAAGATGTACATTTCCCATAGTGTATTATTTCCTTGACGGCAAGGACCATGACCACTATAATTCATTGTTCAGTTTCCAGAATATCTTTCATAGGTGATTAAAAAAAAAGCACTTAGGAGAAAAATAATAGTAGAAGAGAAAATAATAGTGGAATTAGTAATAATAATATTTTAATGCAGCTCAATATCAAAAAAACAAACAACCCAATCAAAAAATGGGCAGAAGACCTAAATGGACATTTATCCAAAGAAGACATACAGATGGCCAAGATGCACATGAAAAGATGCTTAATATCACTGATTATTAGAGATATGCATATCAAAACTACAATGAGGTATCACCTCACACTGGTCAGAATGGCCACCATCAAAAAATCTACAAACAATAATTGCTGGAGAGGGTGTGGAGAAAAGGGAACCCTCTTGCACTGTTGGTGGGAATGTAAATTGATATAGCCACTATGGAGAACAGTAGGGAGGTTCCTTAAAAAACTAAAAATAGACCTACCATTTGACCCAGCAATCCCACTACTGGGCATATACCTTGAGAAAACCATAATTCAAAAAGAGTCATGTACCACAATGTTTATTGCAGCACTATTTACAATAGCCAGGACATGGGAGCAACCTAAGTGTCCATCGACAGATGAATGGATAAAGAAGATGTGGCACATATATACAATGGAAATAATTAGTTTGCCTTTTGGGAGGTCTGAGGTCTTCTACCCTGACACTATGTATAAAATAGATAACTTATGAGAACTTACTGTATAGCACAGGGAGCTCTACTCAATGATCTGATGACCTAAATGGGAAGGAAATCCAAAAAAGGGGATATATGTCTATATGTAGCTGACTCACTTTGCTGTACAGGAGAAACTAACACAACATTGTAAAGGAACTATACCCCAATTAAAAAAAATATATTTTTAGGGCTCTCTTTAGGCCAGGCCTTAGTTACTTCATATAATTTTTTCTAGTACTCATAATAACCTCACGAAGAATATATTGTTGTCATGCTCATTTTGTAGATGAGGAAAATGAAAATAGGGTAGTTAAATAGATGGCTCAAGGTCAACCTAGAGCTAGTGAATTACTTTGCCAGGGTTTGGATTCAGAGTCCTCTGAAGCCCTCAAGTTTCTCGTGATATCCTGCCTGGAAAGTTTGAGCAGTGTTCCTTCCTCTGGGTTGGAGATAGGCTAGACCAGAGTCTTGGTCTATGAGTATATATTCTAACCATTTAGTGTGGTATTTTAAAGGAATTTTTAGAAAAGAAAAATAATGTCTTTAAGATGGCTTTCCCCTTTCTTATGAGGTTCTGTGGTCTAGGGTTGTGGAGAAAGAGAGTAGCACAGAAAGAAGCCAGACACAAAAGACAACATATTGTATGATTCCATCTATATAAAATGTCCAGAATAGGCAAATCCATAGACATAAATTAGTGGTTGTCAGGAGCTGAGGGGAGGGGAGGATGGGAAGTGACTGCTAATATGTGCGGAGTTTCATTTTTTGGGTGATGAAAATGTTCTGAAATTAGATGGTAGTGATTGTTGTACAACTACTTTGACTATATTAAAAACCACTGAATTATATGTATACTTTATTTTTTTAGATTTTTTTTACAATCTACCATTTATTATCACTATAATTTCATAAGAAAAAGGACATTTTCATTTTAAAACAGAATAAAGGACAGTCCTTCACATGAATAAATTGGACTTTATGGAAAACACAATAAAAATTGTTTTAGATGAATGCTGGGGATTTCTTTTTTTTTTTTAATCAAAAGCCATTTTCAACCATACTGTTCATCTTCCCCGGGTTCCCACGCTTCTGACATTTCCGAATGTAATAATGTCATAGCCGGCAGTCAGTCTCCACACCTCGCTTGGATAACGATGTATTCTGATCACTTTTGTTGTCTGGATGGGGTGGTTAAATACTACAGGCCTCTCTTCATACTGCTATTAATTTCTGACTCCCTGGCGAAAGCATTTCCATGAGAATCAAGGACTTCCCGTCTTTTAATTTTTAGGAATCCGAGGTCATGGGGGACAATGGGGAGATCCTTGTTCATCCTAAGCTTTTGAGACAGAAACAAAAGAAGGTGGTGGTGATGGAACCCGATGACAGGGTAGAAGGGGCACTGGGCAGTGGAGACCCCAGCCCGAGGGATGGAGGCTGGGTCAGTAGAGGCCAGGCTGAGAGTCTTGTGTTTTTGGAGGGAAATAAAAAGGGGAGAACAAATGAACACACTTAAGGCATCTGCCATGTGGTAGGCACTGTGCTCAGTGATTGGCATTCATATTTCAGGAACTATATGTGGGAGCTTATGGATTGGCATGGATGTCTCTCCTGAAGTCCTGACTCTTCCTTATTCATAGCACCTCATTTTGTTCAAAGTTCTCCACGGTGCTCTACAGTCATGGTCTTCCCCCAGGCCAACCATTGTGACTCTATTTCCCTTACTAGGTATTGGTATAGAAATAGCCATGTGAAGCAGGTTCTGGACCATAAGACAAAAGGGGAAGTCTGCTGAAGGAGGAGGAATTCTGGGAAAATAAGAGAAATATAAGAAACACTGTCTTCTCTTTTGCTGGGTACTGTTAGGTCTGGATGTGATGCCTGGCACTGCAGCAGCCATTTTGTGACCATGAAGGAGTTTGGTGGAACAGAAAGATGAAAAGGACATGGGTCCTTGATGATACAATTGTGCAACTGAATTAATGAACCCTGGAGCTACCCTACCATAGGGTTTCTTATGATTGTTTGAGATAATCAATTTTTTTCTCATTTATACCAATGAGTCAGGGTTTCCTATTACCCTGCCAAAATCATGAAGATACAAGAACAAATTTTTCTGACTATTTTACAGATGAAAAAACTGAGACTCAATGACATACACACATTTGCTTAAGTACACATAGCCTGGATGTGGTGGACTCAGGATTTGAACCCTCTGTCTTAGAAGGAGACCCCTGCTGTGGGGCGGGGGGACAGGATTATTTAAAAAAATTTTATTGGAGTGTAGTTGCTTTACAATGTTGTGTTAGTTTCTACTGTACAGCAAAGTGAATCAGCCATACGTATACATACATACCCTCTTTTTTGGATTTCCTTCCTAGTTAGGTCATCAGATCATTGAGTAGAGTTCCCTATGCTATACAGTAAGTTCTCATTAGTTATCTATTTTATGCATAGTGTCAATAGTGTACATACGTCAATCCCAGTCTCCCAATTCATCCCACTCCCCCTTTCCCCACTTGATGTCCATATGTTTGTTGTCTACGTCTGTTCTCTATTTCTGCCTTGCAAACAGGTTCATCTGTACATTTTTCTACATTCCACATATATGCGTTAATATATGATATTCGTTTTCCTCTTTCTGACTTTCTGCATTCTGTACGGCAGTCTCTAAGTCCATCCACGTCTCTACAAATGACCCAATTTCGTTCCTTTTTACAGCTGAGTACTATTCCATTGTATATATGTACCACATCTTCTTTATCCACTCCTCTGTTGATGGACATTTAGTTTGCTTCCATGACCTGGCTATTGTAAATAGTGCTGCAGTGAATATTAGGGTGCATGTGTCTCTTTGAATTATGGTTTTTTCTGGGTATATGCCCAGTAGTGGGATTGCTGGGTCATACAGTAATTCTATTTTTAGTTTTTTAAGGAACTTCCATACTGTTCTCCATAGTAGCTATATCAATTTACATTCCCACCAACAGTGCAGGAGGGTTCCCTTTTCTCCACACCCTCTCCAGCATTTATGGTTTGTAGATTTTTTGATGATGACCATTCTGACCTGTGTGAGATGATATCTCATTATAGTTTTGATTTTCATTTCTCTAATAATTAGTAATGTTGAGCATCTTTTCATGTGTGTCTTGGCCATCATTATGTTTTCTTTGGAGAAATGTCCATTTAGGTCTTCCACCCATTTTTTGATTGGGTTGTTTGTTTTTTTGATACTGAGTTGCATGAGCTGTTTGTATATTTTGGAGATTAATCTTTTGTCAGTTGCTTCGTTTGCAAATATTTTCTCCCATTCTTAGAGTTGTCTTTTAATCTTGTTTATGGTTTCCTTTGCTGTGCAAAAGCTTTTAAGTTTCATTAGGTCCCATTTGTTTATTTTTGTTTTTGTTCTCATTACTCTAGGAGGTGGGTCAAAAAAGATCTTGCTGCAATATATGTCAAAGAGTGTTCTGCCTTTTCCTCTAAGAGTTTTACAGTGTCTGGCCTTACATTTAGGTCTTTAATCCATTTTGTTTATTTTTGTGTATGGTGTTAGGGAGTGTTCTAATTTAAATCATTTACTTGTAGCTGTCCAGTTTTCCCAGCACCACTTATTGAAGACGTTATCTTTTCTCCATTTTATATTCTGGCTTCCTTTGTCATGGATTAGGTGACCATAGGTGTGTGGGTTTATCTCTGGGCTTTCTATCCTGTTCCATTGATTTATATTTCTGCTTTTGTGCCAGTACCATACTGTCTTGATTACTGTAGCTTTGTAGTATAGTCTGAAGTCAGGGAGCCTGATTCCTCCAGCTCCATTTTTTTTTTCCCTCAAGATTGCTTTTACTATTCGAGGTCTTTTGTGTTTCCATACAAATTGTAAAATTTTTTGTTCTAGTTCTGTGAAAATGCCATTGGTAGTTTGATAGGGATTGTATTGAGTCTGTAGATTGCTTTGGGTAGTAGTTACTTTCACAATATTGATTCTTCCAATCCAAGAACATGTTATACTTTGATGTGGACCATTTTAAAAGTCTTTATTGAATTGGTTACAATATTGCTTCTGTTTTGGGTCTTGGTTTTCTGGCCACGAGGCATGTGAGATCTTAGTTCCCCGACCAGGGATCGAACCCACACCTCTTGCATTGGAAGGTGAAGTCTTAACCACTGGACCACCAGGGAAGTCCCTATACGTACACTTTAAAAGGGA